TTTTTAGCGGCAGAGATTAACACGTACATAAACGGAAAATTAATTTGTTTATATATCTGTGGTTCGTGTTTTGTTTTTCGAGTTAACATTTAAAGCATCAACTGCAGTCACGCCGACTTTCATTCCAAAAGTCTTTAGCGGTATTTCCTTGCGACTAATATTGATTGCGTAAATTTATCTCTAGTAGCCTGTCTCCGTGAAGGTCACTAGAGATGGTGGCCCTCGGGTAAATTTAGATAAATAATAAATATTCGCATAACTCTTTAGAAATATAAATATGGACCTGAAATGATTCGATTGATTAGATCTTGCATCGTATGTTGATGGCCTTCAGTGTAATGTTATCTAGATAAAGATGTAGGTTACTTCCACGAAATATATCTAATCACATCCCAGCCTTGTATATCTGCAGGCACAATGACACATAGTAGGAACCTCAGAAATTTACATCAAGCGTAAGACCAGAAATAAAGCAGCTCAGTTAAGAAGACTGCATGGCTATGGAACTCAGTTTAACAGTACTAGAAGTTAGAAGGACAAGATACTGAGGGAGCAGTCAATGTTGACAGAGACATTCTCATCCAAATGGAAGGAAGTAGAAGGCGAGACTACAGATAGAAACTTGAAACACAAATGAGTTGCAGAGGTCCTAGAAAGTACTTATATATGTTCTGAGGAAAATAAACAAGTGAAATTGATCTCTGCTGACATCTTAAAGATTACTAGAACGTCGAGAGGCATAAACAAAGCATTCACCCCCTTAATACCGCGGAGAAGGGGCCGTAGAGTTAGAACTTGCTTCACGGAGAGGTTAGCACACGGAGAGGCGACGAGAGAAGCCCACCAGAGTCAGGAAGATGGGTAATACTGACGCCCAGTTGTGGCGAAGCCTTCTCACACACACACACCCTTCACCTTCCTCCACCTGGCTGTCTCCTCATCATCTCATATATGTTGTAAATAAGAATGTATTCGTTGACCGATGTTCTTCAAATAATACATGATTTTTATTTTAAGTCTGATTCGGTGAAAATTGTTCATGAAAATTCATTAAAAGTATAGGAAAATATACTTACAAATGAGCATATAAGCAAGCGGCACATGACCCCAGTACGCAGTAGGCATAGACGAGATAGTGGTCACTACGAAATATATAACGAGAACTTTGTTCGCCTTTTTGTACATGATATTGTTAAATTGATACCGATGTACTTTTTCCATTTATTTATTATATAATCCTATTAGTGCTACTTATGTTATGTGATTATATTCTATACTATTCTATTTAGGCATATTCTGGCCATAGATGAAAGAAAAGTAGTAGTTTGTGTTAATGCTATCAAATCTGGCTAGCTATATATCTTGGAAATCCTAAGGCCTACGAAAGTCTTAAACCGGCCCTGCTTGTCCCTATGCTTCACGAACCGCAAAATACTCACAGGAAAAATAAATCAATATTCATGAAAGAAAATCTAGCGTAAATCTAGCAGTGCCTTCACGCGAATATGTCCAACAGTGCTCCAGCAGGAATATGTCAGCCCTCTCTGGCCGACATATTCATAACGTCCTAAGAACGTGATATTGATTACATAATCTTAAAATAAAATTATAATCATTAATTTCCCTTCTCATACCACTCGAGTAGTTTATATCATTTACGTTTTAAATTTTTAACACGTCATTCTCTGTCTCCGCAGAGAATCTGAGTAATAGTGACTGGATCATCTTTGTATTGTATCCGAACCCCTGCTTCACCTACTCTTACTGCTGCTGCTGCTGCTGCCGTGTCCCGCGGGTTAGATGTGAGAGTTAGTGTTAGTTAGGGAGCGATAACTACTACTCGAGGACCATTCTCAGGTAAATATGAGTTGTAGGTAATTTTTGTATGCGGTCGTCTGGTATCATATACCGTAGATATTTCCTATCTGTTTATTTTACGTTGATGGAATTTTCGCCAACCTTTTTTTAGTTGCTCTTTTCTCTAACATGTTTCCGAATTCATTACGAGAAGGACGACGTATCGCCTCACTATATTAACTAAGTGTAATTACCTCAGTGCAGTTACAGGATAAGAGCTACGCTTGCGGTGTCCCGTCTTCCCAGCACCATGGTGACGGTGTTGAAGTCAAGCCTAGTGCACCCTGCCCTTTCATCCCCGAACTTCCCAAATAAATGTCAACATTGATGTTTAAACAATCCTGTGAGATTCTTAACCTTACCAGACTGAGGGCGAAAGTTATAAAATATTTTGTGTAGTTGCAAAATATGATTGTAGTTCTTAACAAAACTATTTTAAGAGGTAATTCGATCTCTTGATTTGCAATAAAGGGACGTCGAAACACTGTTCTCATCAGTAAGTTTATGGAACATCAAGTACGTTGACAGAGGGCCCCGAGTACCGTGTCATTTGCTCAATAATTCCCACTGATGTACCTTGCTTGTGTCGCTGTGTGGCGGACAGTAAAGCACACAGCTGCACCTGCTTATGTAAACTTGCCTGGGTTATGCCAAGGTAAGCCCTCGACTGAGACAGAATTCTGGATACTACTTTGACCACCATTTTCATTTTTTCTCTCTCTCTCTCTCTCTCTCTCTCTCTCTCTCTCTCTCTCTCTCTCTCTCTCTCTCTCTCTCTCTCTCTCTCTCTCTCTCTCTCTCTCTCTCTCTCTCTCTCTCTCTCTCTCAAAATATTCCCATGCCAGATAAGTATGGACAAGCATGAAGGTGTTGCATCAGAGGTGAGGCTGCTGCATCTGATCAGTGCTTCTCCACGTCAAGTCACTCATTACCTATTATAAAATCATATATATATATATATATATATATATATATATATATATATATATATATATATATATATATATATATATATATATATATATATATATATATATATACAAACTGGAGCAAATCGTGAATAATGTCAGTCTTATACACATGAAGGCGAGACGTCCAGTGTAGGTCCGGTGCGTCAAGGTTTACATCACTTCAGTTTAGTACCAAACACGATGTCTCTTGTGCTAATTTCATGTATGATGGTCCTTCAGAGCGAGTGCCAACACCACATGACGGGCTTCGCTCAAGGTTACGTCCCCACGCTTAATGTATCTTGTCTCAGGGAAGGTTAAATCTCTCAGGGAGATTCATATATTTTCCTTTGAATATATATATATATATGAATATATATATATATATATATATATATATATATATATATATATATATATATATATATATATATATATTATATATAATATATATACTCACCAAAAGATGAGGAGACGACGACGTTTCGATCCGTCCTGGATCATTATCAAATCGATTGTGATGCATATTTATAATGTATATAAATATGCATGTATGTATGTATTAGATTTCAAGCTTTCAGTGATCTTCATCAAAAGGCTCAAAAATATGCAAATCAGCCACACTAAAAACAAAAACAATTAGAAGTTAGGTTCTATAACCATCATCCCCAGATGAAGGTACGAGTTGAAGCCTCGTCTCCTCTGTCCAAGGGTAACCCCAGTCCGTCCACTCACCTTCCCACAACCCACTTTAAACTCATTGTAAGAATTGCGTGTTGAGTGTGACTGGTGAACCACCTCCCTGTTGCTTGACGCTTTGCCCCAGTCTGGCACTGGATTCATCAAGCATTTACGCTGCCACTTAAGAAAGCTATACGTCTTTCAACAATCATGGCAGCTTTGTTTACATTTAGTAAACAGTTTATGAATTCTGAAGCTCTACAAGGTTGTATATAACAATAATGACCTTGACTTATGAAGTTTCGAAGATCGTAAACTGTTTATTAAATGTAAATAAAGCAGGCATGAGGGAGGAAAGATGTAATGGTTTCGAAAGTGATTGCGTGAATGCTTGATCAGATTTCAACTTAGATTCAACAGAGCAGAAGTTGTTAAACACTTGGGACAAAATTTTACTGAAGCGACCATACGAGTCATAAATACTTATACTCCGCCCAAGTAAAACAGAAACAAGCAACACTTAGTGGGCCAGCCAGAGGCTTAGGGCCCGCGCAGGAATATCCCTGCAAAAAAAAAAAGTCCTGGCCATGGTTCACACGATGATAGTGCTACACACATATGCGTTAGTGGTTAAGTCAGATTCTGTTTTGTTTCATTATTTTTAACCTTGTCATAGTTGAAAATCCAACATCATACTTGTAACTGGTCATAAAAAGAATGAATGAATGAAGAACATACATCTTAAGAATATCATCTCTTGGACCCCCGCCTTTCTAATCAATCTATTTTTCCTCTATTATATCTACTACATACATTTCTCTCTGACACACACAAATCACCAGGAAGCAGCCCGTAGCAGCTGTCTAACTCCCAGGTACCTATTTACTCCTAGGTGAACAAGGGCGTGAAAGAAACTGCCCATTTGTTTCCGCCTCCGCCGGAAATCGAACCCAGGCCATTAGGACTACAACCCTCAAGCGCCGTCCACTCAACCGCGAGTGTGTGTGTATAATTCACACATGTGTGAATTATAATTCACATGTATGTACGTGCGTGTGTGCATTCACCTAGTTGTGCTTGCGGGGGTTGAGCTCTGGCTCTTTGGTCCCGCCTCTCAACTGGTGTACAGATTCCTGAGCCTACAGGGCTCTATCATATCTACATTTGAAACTGTGTATGGAGCCAGCCAGTATAGAGTGTGTGTGTGTAATTATATAAGTGTAGTTACAAGATGAGAGGTACCTTACAGGCTATTCATGCCCGTGCCACCTTTTAGGTGGCTTAATCTTCATCAGTCATCAATCATGAGAGCTACACTTTCATCCTGGGGTCTTCGGCTCAGGGCTTTATGGTATAATCATACCGCAGTTTACATTTAATTCACATTACACGTATGTATACTTGCAATGTGAATTACATGTATGTACACTGGTAATGAATTTATACAAGATTTGCTCTTTGTCTGTATCTAGAGAAAGTGAATATTATGCATATATTTCCTTTACTCAACAGCCGTGCATAGTGGTGATGGGGCGGACCAGTTCGACAAAGAGAAGGGAACTAGAGGCAGTATTTGGGCCACCGAAGCCTCCTCGTCGACGAAGAAGCAGCCACCCTCCTCCCCCAAGACCGCCCAAGACCGTCACCCTCGTCGACGGTGCACGTCAGACGTTAAAAACAGGAGTGGCAGCACGACCTCCCTCCACGACCTCCTCCTTCAGCACGACGTCAGGAGGCACCAGCTCCTCTCTGACGACAACGCCGCCGAAGCCTGTGGAATGTAAAGCGAGAAGTAATATGAAAACTCGGCGCTCCTGGCCCTTACTTTTCTGTGATTGCATGTACGCCAATTGTCGCACCTACGATGACACAGATATGAAATGAGATCAAGCATTACGTATGATCTGAGATTTTTTAAATGAAATGAAGCGTGGATATGTTGATCTAAGGTTTGTGATGGTCACATGTGACTCTTGGTTATTGTGTTTTGGTCCAGGAATATTTCTAAAGAGACTTTGTAACTCGTGACATGCACTATTCTGTTGCTTTAACAGGATTTGTCAGTGATGGATACACAAACTTTGAAATTACAGGTGTTGGTAAGAGTTGCTACAGTCCAAGAGTATTTGTGTTTTTGTGGCAATTGTGTACATTAAACCACCTCATTTGTATTGTGAATGATGTTTATTGTAATATGCAAAATATACAATTTACAACAAAATATTTGTAAGTTATCACTGAGGAGGAAATATAGGCACACTTTATTCGTCTCAGTGTTTTCTTGTGTTGAACGAGGTAACTTGTTAAGATGTGTCACGTGACTGAAACGAGGTAATTAATTAAGTCGTTAAGACGTGTCATTCGTGACAGTTGAGCGAGCTAACTCGTTAAATGTATCACGTGACAACTATCACCAAAACATCTAGAGGAAATATATTTTCAATATTTTATATAACATTACTTATAATGAAAGATAAATTATTACGAGTAATTCATCCGTAGCCTCATACAATGACCCAACAACTATATATGCAAATCCATTTGAATATTTGAACTCAACTGTCCCTAGCGAGCACTTTTAATTTGCTGTAGTGTTATTGTTACATCTGTGATGCCTAAGTGATTACCCTCACCCCCGTAGGTTATGTGTAGGTCAAAATGGTATTATAACCTATCCTCCAGAAAAGTACATATGGTAACTGTGGAGCATATGTACAAATAGTGCTCCGTGGAGCGCAAAAACCAAACCTAACTCTTATTAGGGTTGGAATAGTACATAGAAAATGTACATTAACCCTAATATGGGTTAGTAGCCTAATATGTACATTAACCCTTAATTATAGCAGGCCTAGGAGAGGTCAGGTTAGGTTGTTGGTTACGTGGTTGTATTTTTCTACTACAATATTGGGTGGTAGATAATGACAAGCGATACACCCAACTGTCAGAAAATGTAGACGGTTATGGCTTCCAGAAGCCTCGTCAAGGCAAAATCAATCCCTTGTTACAGGTTACCACTGTTATTATACACTGAGCTAGTTTCTTTCATTTGTTTGACTGGTTGAGAGATATGTGACATGGTTATGGCTGTGTTTAGCGCCTACACTGGCGAAATGTGTAATTAGCATGTTTCAAGTGAAATCGAATCAATGCCCAATAAACGTCTCAATCATGGAAACGCTTTTCTTCCAACACTACCAGACAGCATTTAGACAATATACGTATTATTATTATTACGACTAGTAGTAGCTGTAAAGTTAGTAGTGAAGACAGTAGTGGTGGTGACATAGGTCAACAAGTCACATTGCAGGACTGAAAACTGACATTTTTTTAACCTATTGTGTTATAAACCCATGGAACTTGGGTGGTTATAAATAGAAGCTGCCTCGTATGGGCCAATAGGCCTTCTGCAGTTGCCTTTGTTCTTATGTTCTTATGTTCTTAACTGCTTACCCGCCGAAGCCCTAAATGCCAAACCACTGCTGCAATTTAAGATCCAAATAGATAAAGTCATCAGGACAAGTGGGGGAAACCTTTGCCAAGCCTCCATCTTCCTGTCCTCATCGAGACCACTAGAGATATTGTGGCTCTCAGGTAAATTCAGGTAAATACCAAAAACATGCACCGTGAGATGCAAACTACCTTTAATTACATACACACTAAAGGTGTTCAATAGACAATTTGTCAGTTGCAAAAGTGGACCATAAAATCTCCAGACAACAACATACCTGGGATCTCAGTACCTTAATTAACTGCAATTCAAATATTGCATTAACCATCAATTAGACAGACTCAAAGATCTCAGATCTGCAGTCCAGAGTTCATCCCTCAATACGCTGGAAACATTCAGAAAAGCTAAAAGTATTCAATTAACTTATATAATTCCAGAGTCGCGGAGAGGAAGCTTGTATTTGAGCTTATCAAGTCCCTCCGAGTCGACCTACTGACCTTGACCAGGATGCCACAACAGCTGCCCTACTCCCAGGTGTATCTGTTTACTACTACGTGAACAGAGGTATCAGATAAAAAGAAACGTATCCAACTATTTTTTCCCGCCGGGGAATCGAGCCTATGATCTTTGAATGTAAGTTGAGAATATAAACTGTTGTACTGGCAGGGAGGCTTGACTGGGCGCCAATCCTTAACTGCTCGCCCCTGTGCACCGAATAGTAATATTGCACCTGGTTGTTAACTGATTGGTGGGAGTGGAAAGTTCTCAGTCTGCAAACAAGTCAGACATCATCTGCTCCTGTACCAACCTGAGTAAAAAAAAAACTATCATACACCAACCTTCGTCCATGATCAAAATAAAAAAATTGACAATCCAGAAACAATGCATATTAAACCCCCTAGAATTTTGTTGGACCACCAGAACATCTGTCTAGACTGTCCAACAACTAGCAAATTTCTTAAAATTCGAATAGAACTAGATATAGGTATAACTATTTCCCTGAATTTACTTCAATTTATCTCTACAAATGGCCTCGACACGGATAGGAAGCCGCGCGGCGGAGGCTTGTCGAAGATCTGATTATGAGTACCCTGAAATTACTTAAGTATACTCAGTTATGCTTGCGGGGGCTGAGCTTCAGCTCTTTGGCCTCGTCTCTCAACTGCGTGGTGACCGAGTTACTGACCCTATTCGGTTCTATCATATTTACATTTGAAATTACGTATGCAGTTTGCCTCCCCCACATCAATTACTAGTGCACTCCATTTGGTAACTACTCTTATACTAAACAAATTATTTCTAATGTCTCATGGCTCATTTGAGTAATCAATTTCTACCTGCCCCCTTGTGTGTGTGTACCACCTTTGTTATATATACTGTTTTTATCTACCCTTATCAATTTATCTACCCTCTTCTTAGATATTAGATAAATATTATTTATATAGATATTATTAAAGAAATGTCTTACCCTTTATCTACCTTATCAATTCCTCTGAGAATCTTATATGTGGTGATCATGTCTCCCTTAACTCGTCATTCTTTCAGCGACGTGAGGTTTAGCTCCCGTAGTCTCGCCTAGTAGCTCATACATACCATTACGTCAGTGACCTAATACAATAGTTATTGGGTTCAATAGTAACAAACTTAAAATTATTTAAAGTACAGGCAGTATGGCTGAATTGTTGCGAGGACTGGAGGAGGTGGGTGGCATTGGCGACACTTGGGGGTCATGCGAGCAGGTCCTACAGTTAAAGTTTCCCTCAACAGATGGTGCTCGACGCCACCAACACACCGCGTTCCGAACATCTGCTCTGCGAGACCTATTATATGAATAAATGTTGATATAGTTAGTTTTAAAGATTGATGAAAATACCAAGGAGATAACAATGTATTTATGCACTAATTCAGTAGATAATTATGTTGGTTATTCGTTGATGAGTTTGTAAACAACAATTAGGAAGTTTCCTAAGGCTGAACTGCCACCAGCCGAACAGTTTGCCATAGAGAGCTAGTGAGAGGAGTGACTGGATGACAGGAGGTCGTCAACACTCTCATGACTCTACCATTCACTCGACAACATGACGTATGTATTATGTTGTGAAATTCTGCTCGTTATTCTGTAATGCTACACCTTATATCTTGTCAAGAGCACGAGTAATTTGAGCCTTCCAGACGAGCAAGAAACTTAAGAGGAAGTATGTATGGTTCACTAGGTGACCCTGGGATGGGTCTGTAGGGGAAACTCTGCTTTGTCTTGCGCTCAGTAATTAATGTCGACTCGTTTATTTATGGGTGATAATTTTTAGTTTGGTGTCGTTTGATAAAAGAGCAAAAGCATGAAGGTAACTGCAGAAGGCCTATTGGCCTATACGAGGCAGCTCCTATTTCTATCCAGCTTGCTTGGTCATGGAGCCGTTTAATAAGGAAATGTTGATTTAGGTAATCAGGAACCACAAGCTGTATCCTTAAAGTTCAGTGTGGTCTCTAGCTAGGCCAAGTATTGGACATTGGCTTTAAAATGGAATTAATTTTTTGGTATACAAAATTTATTTATAATTCATACATTAATATTTTATTTGACCAAATAAAACTAGTAGTGCAGTCTGTTGTGTCCTGCAGTACAGTTTGGTCACGTCTGAAAGTCCCTGGGGTAAATTCCTGCTCGGGCAACTGTTCCTTAAACTATGCCTCTGTTCACCCGGGGTTTGGTCAAATATAAAAAAACGAGTATCTGTAGTTTCATCTTGAATTGCCAAAACTGGTATCTATTCAGGTGTCCCTTAACATTCTGATTTTAAGGTGTTGAATTTGTTATTTTGGACCCCTCTTCCTGTAGGCGAGTGGCAGAAAGTATTATCACGAGTTCAGATATTGAATCTGATTTAACCCAAGCAATTTAAATTTGTTTATTAGTTGCATATTTTAAGTTGCCTGTCATGCACTTTCAACATATTCAGTGAGCAGCTATGGAGAGGTTGTAATCAGATGCATAAATTACCTTAAGTTATCAAACTTTTGATACTTGACAAAGATTTCTGGTAGTAAATAAATCTGAGTTAGTCACATTTCTTTAAGATTTATGAGCTTTATGAATTCATAAATTTCACATTCCTTCAGTTGGTTATACCAGGTATGTAGATCTGCCCGAAACGCTATGCATACTAGTGGCTTTACAAGAATGTAAAACGTCAAGTCTCTGTACTCTAATAAACCCAATGTACTTTCTTGTATATAAATAATATGCAGGTTAGTGTTGCTGATGCCTTGCATAAAGCAAGGATTACATTGCCAGGTAATTCAAACTCCCAGAGATTCTTATTAAAAATTTGTAAGATGAGTGTTTAATTACCCATGAGAAGAGTTTGCCGTTTGTTTTATGGTAAAGTACTGGGGAAAGGAAACAAAAATGCTACCTTGTACCACTAAATATATACCCATTCCTTGGAAAGATAAAAAAAAAATGCAATGAATTTAGCACATATTAATAATAATGCATAATGCATTAGCAAATGCATAATGAATTTAGCGCACATTAATAATAAAATGAATTGATTGGGGAAAGACTACCACACAACCTATTGGATATTATTGTATGTCTGTTTGCATAGTTTCACTCTTAACTTCTAATTAATTATAGTTACATTAAAAAGTTTTACCGTTTCTTTTTACAGGTGAATACCATTATGATCCAGATTTAAATTGCTCAAGACTATATAAATTACCAAAGAAAAATAAGATTGTAAAGATTTCACGTAGACTAGACTTGAAGTATGTCGGGCGGAAACTCCTTACAGCCAATGGATAGTTTGGCTGCTCCCTTGATAAATACCACCATTGATGTCAGTGTCTGTGGAAAAGATGCCCTTACAGACAGTTATGGCTGGTTTGTGCAGGCACTGCTAGCCAGTTTAGCATTTGGTCTTCTCATATGTAAGTAAAGGGTTTTTGTGTGGTTTTTAGGTCTTAAATACTGTACTGTAAAACATTTTCTTTTTCCTTCTAACCTGTGCAATAAATTGAAGATTGAAATTTGAAGGGAGTGTAGGCTATGGTCTTCTCTTGTTCCTGAGCCCTATAGAGTATTAACATTGTTTGGTTTTTCTTCTAGAATATAGTAATTTATATTAGTGTGCATTTGAAAAGTGATGGATAAATCTAGAGTAAGATTGTAAAGTATTGACTTAATCTGAGGTTGGCAAGTTAAGAGACTGCTATATTTGCATAAACAAATCTTTTTATATATGCAGATATAAATATTTTTTTACAGTGAAAAGATTTTGTGAACCAAAGAAACATAGGAGGTCATGGCTTGTGTGGTTCTATGACACCTCGAAGCAAGGTTTGGGAGCCATGATAGTTCACTTTTGCAATGTTTTTCTCTCTGAAGCATTCAGAGGGGACCCATGTACCTGGTAAGTAAATTTTTATGTAACTGATTACATGCTGCAAGAAGCTAGTCTTGGTGGTTTAATCCTTAGTGCTATTGTCGGATGTGTGTTGTATGCACAATTTTTTATTATGAATACCTTGAAATTTAAAATTTTCTTGACATACAGAATTATAAAATTTAAATAGTCCTGTAATCTGGATTGATCATAATTGCCTATAATTATATTTCTTTAAGAATAACGGTAAGTCTAAAACAGAATCGTGCATGGTTTCATTGAATTGTATTAAATTTGATTGTGCATGATATTGAAACATGCTCAAAGATTCTTCTAATTAGAGTAATGACTTTTGTAATAAGGCTTGTCTCTTGAGTAATAGTCACAAAATCAAATCTTGAAAATTACTTTAAAAGCAGAGCACACAATTTAAACTTGCAAAAGTAAAAGGCATAAAGACACGAGCTGTGTGTACTGTGGGTGGACTGTTGTAATGTGACTGTCATCTTGTGGTTAATATAGTATACTTTCTTTAATGTGCTAGAATCTAATTTACATAATCATGGCATCTAACAATTCTAATAAAGGCATTCTCAAATTTGTCACACGAATTATTCTCGGAGGAGTGCTTATGTATAGTATAATTCTTGGAGTGTGGGACTTGCCCAAGGTAGCAACCAAGGGACTAGCTTGGAAAGTGCTTCTACAATTGGAATAATTTATATTGTTACTTTTACAGGTACATCATAAGTTTTTTACTAGATTCAACACTAGGCTTGGTCATCATCTGGGCTGGCATTAGGCTTAGTATTTACATTGGTCAGAAGCAGGGCATGCCTACCATTATCTTTGGAGAGTATGGTAAGCATTATTAATTTCCACTTCAAATTATAAGCCCTGTGATTATTTTTTTTTCAATTTCTTGTAATATTTGTCACTTTATATTCATTTAAAAAATTAACGAAGTTTTCATCCATTTATGCATTTGTTTTCCTTTTCTTTGTTAAACAGTTTTGCTGATAGGAGGTAAAGATCTATAATCTGCATAATGAAATGTTACCACATTTTCTTGCAGATCCATGTTAATAGATGGAATTGAATTTTTTTTTTTTTCCCCACTTCACCAGAAATACACTACCCACTATACAATGGTAGAAGGTACAGTGGGTAGTGTGTTTCTGGGAATTAAGAGAACTTGAATCTCATATTTGCCATTTTCATCCATGCTGTGACCTTCACTGACTGCAACCACAAAGCTGATGGAAATCGATCCACTTCTAAAATTTGAATGCAGCAGTATTAGTGATGTGATGAAGTCCAATTGCTTTCCATGTAAAAATAGTGTCCTGCTAATAATATGCACAGAAGATATAGAATACAATGAAGTTCTGCCTCCTGTGTTTGTGGGTGGGTAAAATGGTTTTGCAAGGGTTCCTCTTGCCACGACTTCAAAATACAGCACTCAAAAGTTGAGAAGCGACCTTAATTTTTCTCCCAACATCTTTTGCTTGGTCTTAATTCTTGCTTGTCATGGCATTGAGACTGTCCACTGTGACTTGCACACTTTGGCTTGCATTGACATTCACTCACAGCCTCTGACACCTTGGTTCCAAGAGACGGGCTTTAGCAATCTTTCTCACATTGCTAAGGAACCCATTTAATCAGGAATAAGTGAATTCTTAAAGAATGCATCTTGTGGATGCAGCTCCCAGACCAGCACTATTATCCTCAAATCTTGGGCTGATGTACTATTTATGTAATATCTAAGCTTGAAATTTTTGTAGAGCAGATGAAGCTTGGCTGTCCCAAATACTGGTTGGGAATAGCTTCCGAGTCAGTAAAGCCCAGGTCTTTTAAATTATTGGGCTCCATGTCTAATGGCTGATTTTACTGCTTAACCAATCAAAGTTTTTCATAATATCGCCTGTCCCATCATTAAGCACCTACTCGTGGAGCATTGAAAGTGATTACAATAGTCCCATTCAGCTCCCATTCAGCACCTAATTGTTTTTTTTACACTGGAAATTTGCATGCTACAAAACTTTCATCCTAAAGTAAAGATTGTCCTAACAGTTACATCTGATGGACAGCTTGCATGCAAATCTCGAGGGCAGAATGACACCTGAACTAAATGCCTCTAAAAGACATTTCAGAATGGCACGTGGGTTCTTTAGCTTGAAAACTGATTTTGGTGATGTTTGTCCAGTTTAGTGACAAATTAACCCATCTTGGGCATTCAGGTGTTCTCATAGGTATTCTACGAGATGCCTAATGTTCTAGGTATTTTGGCATTGGTGCCATGTTAATGTCAATGGTTCTGAAGATTTGGCAAATATAGGGCAAGTCATGCACTTGTAGATAAATCACTTTAAGCATTTTAACCCTTAAGCTGCTAAGGGGTCCCGAGGAGATCTACACCCCTGTGCGGAAAAAAAAAATCTAAAATTATTTAGTCTTCTAAAAATGTTAACTTTTGTTCCCTGAGCACGGGAAAAATAAAAAAAAATCGTAGGCGACATATTTTGGGCGCAATAGGCCGAGGAAGCCTGGCAAAATGTGGGCATTGACAGAGCAGTTGTCAGAGCCAGTCAGCGTCACCCGAGTTGACAAGTGGGAGTTGCCACAAAAGATATTATTACCCAATTATTTCAATGTGTCTGATTTTTTCTTTGTTTTTTGCAGTAATATTATTCAATAGTGTGTGTTGATATATTTATATAATAAAAGGGGTGAATCGTCGCTATACTAAAAAATTTGGTGTGCATATTAGTGATTCTATAATGTTCATAACAGCAAAACTTTGTTTTATTACTCTATACACAGGTTAGATATAAGTATCTGCATGCTTTGTTCACCATAACAAACCACTAAGTTGGTATTGTGAGTCGAAAAGCAACGAGGAGTGACCGCCACACACCAGCCAGCCACTCGTTGCCACTCCCTCAACAATGTTTCACTCGCTCACTTTCTCCTCCCACGATCCTGGTTTTTTATTTTATTCACTATATACAGATGTTATATATAAGTATCTACATGTTTTGTTACACAATTGTACAACTAAGCTGATATAGTTAGTTCAGGTACTAAGAGACGTCGCTACACACAGTCAGCTGGCGGCCGCCTCCCTCACACATTCAAGGTCACACGTACTAAATTTCTCCAACAATACTGTTTGTAGTGTTATTACACTATATATACACATTATATATAAGTATCTACATGCTGTATGCACTGTAACTGTACACCTAAGCTTGTAGGGATGCCCAGAGAGCACAGTAGCCACCCTCTACACAGCTAGACAAGTCATGCAGACGACGACACCTCCGTCACCCAAATGGCTCCTCCCAACATAATCCTTTTTGCTATTATTGCACTAATACACACATTATATAAAATTATCTACATTTGTGTTCACCATAGAGAACCACAGAGCTGGTATGGTGAATGCAGACGGTAACATGTGGCCACACAGTCGGCAAACGATGCTATCTCCCTCCATCTCTCGGCATCACTCCTCCCACAGCGCTGATAGTGACTTTAATTCTAATATGTAAAATTGGCAATACTTGTTACTTCTGCTTAGTTAAGTATAAAGATTGAATTACTAAGTGGAGATAAAATCCTTTAAGTGAAATGACATAATCATACAGAAAAAATATCCACAGATGAGGTCTCTTATCTTAGTGCTTCTCTGCAGTGTCAAACTTGACTTCACTTCCTAGTGACTTGCCTGATTTTATGCAGCTTTGTATTTTATGCTATTCTGTTAAAATGTTTTGGTATAGTAGTCATTATTAATATAAAGTTGTTAAAATTTCATTTTATACACTTTTAGACTAATTTTAAGGTTTTATCAAAGACAAAAATGTTTATAAATTTTATATAAATTATTTGAACTAAAAGATAAACTAGGCAGATCGGCAGCATACATATATTTTGCAGGCAAGAATTTATTCAACTTCAGGATCTCTCTGATTTAAGTTTTTTCTTTTTAGGTCGTCCTCCATCGGCACGTGCTTGGGGGCACCAGTGTGCTCTATACGTGGGTATTATGATAGTAGAGAAAGTACTCATAACAGGGTTGTTAGCCCTCCAGTTCTGGTCCAGTGTGAGAGATCTCATCTTGGCACCCATTACCGACCCACAAGTTCGGGTAGTCATTGTCGTTCTAGTCATTCCATTCTTCATTAATGTAAGTAAAAGGCCAATACATTTGTCTGACCTTAGGCTCATGTTAGATTTAATGCATGCAACCTTCCTGTGTATCAGGCCCATATTGTATTGCATTGTGTTACTTAGTTGCTTTAGCCCCTAATTGTTTATACCAATTGTTGCAAAGAAATCTTTTTTTAAATACTAATATGTATTACTTTAGTTCTTTTCAGTTTTTTTACCAATACTTTTAATCTTGTTGTATTGAATATATCAGGCGTTTCCTTAATTTGAATATCATATACACTTTATTACACTTGTGCCATTAACCTCTAAGCTGCTCTAGGCTATTTGGCCTTCATCACCCACAGGTGCAACAAAAATAATAATTCAAATATATTTAGTCTTAAGTGTTCATTTGTGTTCCCTGATCACAGGAAAAATAAAAATATTAAATTGCTGGTGGCATATTTTGGCCGCAACAGGGCGAGGAAGTCTGGCAAAAAGAGGCATTGACAGAGCAATCGTTGGTCACGGTCTGCTCTGCCCGCAACCCATTCTCGCAAATTCGTAAAGTCAATATTGACTTATTAACTACGTGCATAGGTGATATACTAAACATAATAGATACCCTTAAAAAGATTCATAGAAAACACCGACCTTACCTAACCTTGTTAGTATCTTAAGATAAGCATCTTATTGCTTCGTAATTACAATTATTACTTAACCTATACCTATTATAGGTTAGGTAATAATTGTAATTACGAAGCAATAACATGTTTATCTTAAGATACTAACAAGGTCATCTTGAGATGATTTCGGGGCTTTATAGTGTCCCCGCGGCCCGGTCCTCGACCAGGCCTCCACCCCCAGGAAGCAGCCCGTGACAGCTGACTAACACCCAGGTACCTATTTTACTGCTAGGTAACAGGGGCATAGGGTGAAAGAAACTCTGCCCATTGTTTCTCGCCGGCGCCTGGGATCGAACCCAGGACCACAGGATCACAAGTCCCGCGTGCTGTCCGCTCGGCCGACCGGCTCCCCAGGTTAGGTAAGGTCGGTGTTTTCTATGAATCTTTTTAAGGGTATCTATTATGTTAAGTATGTCACCTATGCACATATTTAATAAGTCAATATTGACTTATTAAATTTGCGAGAACGGGTTGCTGCCCGAGCTGTCAGGCGGGAGTTGCCACAAAGATATTACCTAATTATTTCAATGTCTCAATGATTTTTTTTTCTCCAGTAATATTATTAGTGTGTAGTGTGATATATTTATATGTGTGAATCATTGCTATGCAAAAGTATTGTGATCATATTAGTGATTCAATTATGTTCATAAAACAATAAACATAGTTTTGATGTTATTACACTATATACACAGGTTATATAAAAGTTTCTGCATGTTTTGTTCACCATAACAAACCACTAATTTGGTATGGCGAGTCAAAAGCAATGAGGAGTGGCCACTTGCTGCCACTCCCTCCCTCAGCACCTCACTCGCAACATTCCTCCTCCCACCATACTGTTTTTGCTTTTATTCACTATATACAGACATTATATATATAAGTATCTACATGTTTTGTTCACCATAACTGTACAACAAAACTGGTATGGTAAGTTTAGACAATAAGAGGGGTTGCTACACGCTGACGGCTGCCTACCTCACTGGTTAAAGGCCAGATGCACTAACATTCCTCCTACAAGTATACCGTTTGCGGTGTTATTACACTATATACAGATTTTATCTACACGTTTTGTTCACTATAACTAAGCTGGTATGATGCCCAAAGAGCATAATGGCAACACTTGCACAGCATGACAAGTTATGCAGGTGATGCCACCACCTTTGCCTAAATGGCTTCTGCCAACATACTCCTTTTGCTGTTATTACACTGTACATATACACACGTTATATATAAGTGTCTACATTTGTGTTCGCCATTGCGGACCACTAAGCTGATATGGCGAGTGTAATCGGTAACAAGAGGACACGCGTATTTAGCAGGCGACGCTACAGTCCTCCCACCCTCAATATTTTTCCCTTGTTGAAAAATGCACCTTCCCACACCACAGATCAAATTATTAAAACAATCCTACCGTTATAAGAATCCTGGTAATTTTTATCAGTCAGGGGTCTGCTGTAATACTATCATCGCTAAATAATACCAGTTACATATATTTGACATTTTTAGGAGATGCTGTGGTCACAAGCTGAACAGCAGTGCTGTGAGCTCATGCTGTGTGATGTGAACTTGCATGAACTAAATGATCCTTGCCATAGTGCTGTATATACTTCCAATATAATCCTGTATAATGGTTGATTATAATCCACAGGTTAATCCACATTTAAACTGGGTAGACGTATAGTGACTCGCATCAGAAGGGTGGGCATGGTAGCAAGGTGAAGTTGGCTGAAGAAACCAGAAAGTCCGATGTGGGGAATCCTCGGAGGGAAGAGGGGCTACATGGAAAGGGGGGGGGGGGGGGGAGACATAAGGCGAATAGTAGTTTGATTTAAACTGATGTACACCTGTTTAGTTCAGCCAGTGTTGTAATAGTTTGTGAAAGTTATGGACATGGTTTGTTTCCGATTTTGACATTTGTAATTTTTAAATTCCTGATGAATATAGCTTCTAAATCTAGAGGACTGCATACAAATTAGAGAATAAATGTTGACTTGGATAAATTATTTACTGTAAATTTGTGTAAAATAAGTTATAAATGTACACACATTTATGAATAAAGTACTTGAATTTGAAAATGACTGCTAGGCAGGAACAAGTGGAAATATCATGCATGCATAACTTTCCAATATAAAATTGCATACTATATCTTATTCCTCCATTCATATTACTAGCCATTTCACCCATACTCCTTAATTTTAATTCCTGATTTGAGCACTGTTAATCACCAGGCTCTAATCTTCTGGGTGACGGACAACTTCTTGATGTTGAAGGTTAGACCCGTAGCGAGAGATGAAGAGTATGCATTCCCGAATGATTCCACTTCAGGTTCAAGAGCATTTTCGAAGGTAATGCAGAATTAGTTGTTTTCTAATTTTAACTAGAATTAATGAGGTGCAGTATTAGTGTTTAGTTTCTAGTTCTTGTACATTTTCTGTGGGAAGTCCTGTCGGATCCCTGAAGCTGTCCGACTGATCAAGTGTGACACTACTAGTGTCAATTGCAGAGTTCTTTTGTATTCCTACAGGGGGCAGGTATGTATATAAAAGTTTTGGTGGATATATATACAGTATGGTGTAGCTGCCTTGTATGTAGACAACAGGCCTTCTACAGTTTCATTTATTTTCTTATTTCTTGCCTTTCATGTGCATTTTTTATGCCCTTCATATGCATCAAACTAATTTTTTTTTTTTTTTTTTTTTTTTTTTTTATATGGCTGCCAAACTCCTGTTTTAGTGGTGACGTTAAAGCTACAGCACTTGCCATTCTCTACATCATTATTAATTTCTTCAGTACAGTAAGAGCTGCTGAACATTTTGTTCCTGTAGTAGTCAGGTTTGTTATAGACTCGCAATCGGGAATTCCAGGCAGGACAGAAATGGTTGGGGGCTCTATCACCCCTGTTTAGTTAGCAATAAATAAGTACTGTACTCCGGAAGTTAGTCGGCTTGTTGAGGGGTTGCATCCTGGGGAGGGGTCCCTAATTCCACCTAGGGGTGAACCTCGATAAAAGCCTAACATGTCTGTATATGCTGGCTATCTGTCCCCCAATACATTGAACTACAATATTTAATTATAATGACTAAAATCTCTCAAATCCTGTAGAATATGAGAAATGTGTGGAATTTAAAGGGTCCAAAAGGTATTTGGAAACCTGGTCGTCCTAGGCAACTGGTGATTTTAAGAGTCGGTTGTCCTTGTGGCGAAATGGTAACGCACTCACTTAGCATTTTGCGAGCGCTTTGGCCTGTGTTCGTATCCTGGCCAGGGAGGATTTACTTGGTGCCAATCCTTAACTGTAGCCTCTGTTCACCCAGCAGTGAATGGGTACCTGATAGTTAAATGATTTGGCAGGTCATGTTCCGGGGAAAATTAGGATTAAGTACTTGCTAAAATGCTGTGTGTGCTAGTTAGTGGCTGTACAAGAATGCAAGAACTCTTGTATATATAAATAAAAAAATAAATAATACTTTAGGCATGTCTTTATCAATCGCCATTTCAATTTCAAAAAGAAATCTTAAATGTGTTAGTCAACTATAATAATCACTGTCAAATGCCTTGAACTTTATAGAAACCTTTCACTACACAATTTAACAAACCTTTAATTTAAAGGTCCTGGATTCAATTCCTGTAGTGGGATGTAGCATTTCAAGTTTCCATTCACCCGATGGTTCAGTTCATCTAGCAGTAAATAAGTACAGTACTCTTGAGTTGGGGAAACTGGTGTGGGTTGTATCCTGGACAAGGTCCCTAGTTGGCCTAGGGGAACGTTAAGCCCAAGAGGCTGCCAGCTCCAACTGTTGAGGAAACCACAAGATATTACATTACCCAGTCTGAAATGTTTGCTAGCAGGTGACTTTCTTCCCTGCTGTAAATGAAATGTAAACTTATTTAATAGCTAAACACTTGTATGGTTAATTCATTATGAATGTGGTATGCATGCTTTTATTTAGTGGAATGCTCGAGACAAAACTAGAATACCTGCATCTTCTTGACAACTAGTACAAACATCTTAAACAGATAATGATTATTCATTGCTGGGGGAGAGGTAACCAGTATATTATGCTTATATTGTGGTAAACCCCCCCCAAGGTTTAATTACTAAACCCTGCCAGGATGCTACCCCACAACAAGCTGGCCGATTACTGGGTACCTATTTACTAGTAGGTGAACAGCAGCACAAAGTGATGGGGGAACATGCCTTGCTATTTGTCCTGCCTAGGATTCAAATCTGGAAATCCCGATCGAATTGATAATGAACCAAGCTGTGCTACTGGGACCCTTTATAGTTTTTTTTTTTTTTTCTCTCCTTCTTCTGAAAAATGTTTTAACACATTTTGTTTCTTCAGGTTCACTACAAGTGCCATGATGTGCAGCACGAGGAAGAGTCTGACATTCTCTTAACAACCTCAAACGATGATGAATTGTTGGGTAAACATGAAAATCTACAAGAAAGGCATGTTGGACGCACTATTACATAACATACTGTAATACACACAAGTGGTAAGCAGATTACTTTAGGAGCATGTTATTTCATACAAAGTATACAGTGGCTTTATGAAATTCAGCATTTAAGATATATAATTGGAAGATTGGTATTCTGGCAAAAATATTATAGGGATTTTACCGTCAAATACCCACATCTACAAACTTTACTCTGCAGCTGATATAGGGGACGTGATGTAAGTTTCAAACAGCTCTTGTACATTTGTATGGTTACATTACATGCCTTGTGATGGTCCTGTAGTTACATTGTGTGGATATAAGAGCTCACATTAGAGGCCTAATCTCTAACCCGGATGGTAGATAAAGGCAGCAGTGATGTGCACCATTGTATGCATTGCCGTCTTTATCTTTAGTACCTAGCAGGCTCCTTTAATTTAGAATATTGCTATCTCATCCTGGCTAACAGCCTAAAAAATTCCATTTTCATTATTTGATGCATTAGATTAAGTTGAAGTAATTTCCTAATGGAACTTTTATTCTTAATGTGCTATAATTTTTTGCTTGATAACAGCCTTTGCATTTTAATTTCACCAAAAGTGCTAAAAGTATGGTAGTCATCTTGGCATAATCATTAATTTTAGTGCAGTGGTGGTGCTAAATGGTCGATATTCATAATTGTGTGCGTCGCGCACGCTAACATACAAAGGTCGATATTTACAAAATAAAAAAAAAGTAAAAAAAAAAAATGGTAAAGATAACCTCACCTTTGCAGATAAATATGTAAAATATATTGCAGAAATTTTAGTAAAATTTGGCATCGAAGTACATTTGTATTCAAATATAGAATTTAGATATTTATTACAGTATTGTAAATTGGTCCAAAAAAAAATTAACCCCCAAAAAAAGATGGTAATTTTTTCCTGACTGACCTTGAACTTCCATATTCAGTATTATATTGTTTTACTCCAGTGCTTCAAAAGTACAATATATATGTACTTAACCCTCAGAATACAGGTACCTGTATCTAAATTTGTTTTTACTTTTTGTGTGCAGTTTCTTATTTATTCCTGTAAAATATTAATAAAACTGTGTATGAAGTGTTGTAGTTTTTGTGAGGTATAGAAGGAACTGGGTAGTGGGTAAATTGTTAATTATCACACGCACGAGTCACACTGGTTTTGGAGCTTAGGACTCTTAAGTTAAAACTTGGATTGCTTTTAGGTTGTTGCATTGGTAATAAATCTCTACAAATAATTGGGTCGGTACTGTACAGTATATTAACCTACATTATATGATGTACTTGTATTGCACATCTGTTCCTGAAACCTCTGGAACAGCTCAGCCTTGCAACCCACTTATTTTTTCTGGTAATTTGTCTAATAATGTCATCCACGCATAAATTTAAACACTAATGGTGTAGATGAAGTCGCATCTGCCTAATTGCAGACCTCTAGCACATAACCTTTTCTCGGTAAGCAATTACAAAATGATAGCAATTTTATTTATATACCCTGGCTTGATGCCTACTTTTGATAATTACTGGCTAACATTCATGTGTGGCTAACATTCATGTGTACTGTATTTTATAACCATATTTAAAAGGATTTTAAAACCAGGGGCAATAATTAAAACGTGCAAATAACAATAACTTCAGTGGCCTGGATAAATGATTACTGTATTTTGAGGGTTAATATAAAGTGGCATTTGTGGCTTGCTATTATAGGACTTCCATTCTTGAGGATAGTTATTTTTGTGTTGATTACAATGTATTGTACTCTCATGAGTGAGCCATCATTCTTGTCTCGGGAGATTTTCCTCCATTAGTCATGAACGGCATTTAAACTTTACTGTAGTACCATACCATAGTTCCTATTTAAAATTGCAGCGTGGTATTCATGGATTTAATTTTGAAGTGATAGTTATCCCACCCATGTACAAATCAAATTCTGAAAGTTGTTACGCATAAGCCTCGTACTGAAGCTTCTGCAAACAAATTGGAAGAAAAGATTTTGTCTTTGATAAAAAAATAAAGTATGGAGTCGAGATGGTTTTGCCTTTTCACCCGGTAGTATTTAGGAACATTTATTAAAATTGCCCTCAAACAAATAAATCTGTAAAGTCCTTGAAATTTGCAAGGTACTGTACATAGCGTAGTATTACTTCATGCCTCTATTTCTCTAGAGATTGTGTGAATTAAATGGGCTTTGCTTCAGTTTTGCCAAATAACTACAGATTTAAAGCAAAGCAAAGTACAGTTTACTGTAAAATGTAATGTGGCAAAGTGTGATTTCAACTGAAAGGCTCCCTGCTCTGTATTTTGTACTGCTTAGTTTTATGAAATTAAACATTTGCATATTAGTTCTATATATGCATGTGCATTACAAGTTATTGGAAATAAAATACTTGAAATTTTAAGACTTCATTTATTCATGTAAACTGGCTGGTCTAACATGAAAATTTGAACCCCTGAAATTTTTCTCCAGATTACTTATCAAAACTGTCTTGGATATCTCTTAAATCTTTACTTTCATTTATTTTGGAAAGTGCTAGTACTGCACTATTTCTAAATTTGATAAGCATTAAATTTGTAGGGGAATTTTGACTAACCAGAAACCTAAGAACCTAACTTGCTGAGGACGATGGCTATTAGTCAAAGTAGAGTGCTTTTTAATTTCTATGAAATGCTAGAATTTTAATGGTGAATTGATGGCACCAAAATTATGCATTCAAAAGACTGACTGCATGCCGCACTCCTCGGCCAGCCTCCTCGCTCTAAGGTCACTTGTTTTGTAAACTTATAATTTAAATATGTTCTTGGCATGGCACCTTCTTTTGATACTTTCTTCCATATTAAGATGAATGTTCTGTTCTAGCCAAATCATTCTTCCTGGCATGCATCTTGTCTATTTATAGAAGAGGTATGAAAGTGAAAATCTCAAAGTACATTACAGGTCCACATGCTGCAGTGGAACTGTTGCAGCTGCAGAAGTCATTCTATTTTCTTTAAAGTAATGTAATTTTGGTAAATCTTGCAAAGGTTATTTTTAGTGCATTTACAGAAGGAAAGTAATTAATAAGTTGGTAAGCATTAATTATGCTGTCTTTTTAAGATTTTACTTTATTGTACAGTGTTGTATATTGTAAAATATTTTCCAGTGTTAAAAAAGCAATCTTAACACTAGTCTCGTAACGACGCAGCATTGCGTCAGTGGCGGCAGCTTTAGGAGGGGCGCACCGTGGTTTTGGACATATGCATATACTCGTGTAGGGAATTTCATTGTGAATATATTGATATCAAAATGAGACCTAGGACCAGAATTGAGGTAACAAAGTTGAAAAGAGTATACCCATTTTATTAGCGCTCACTGGGGTTACTCTCCGTCACTTTCTCTGTTTGCTGTGGGTGGTACGCCGGGCTTTTGGACTTTATATTTGCATATACTCCTGTAGGGAATTCTATTGCAAACACAATGACACCAAAATGAGACCTAGGACAAGAATTGAGATGTCCAAAGTGAAGTGTGTACACATTTTGTTGCTCTTGCGGGCTTCCGGGTAACACGCTCTCACTTTCTCACTGGGCTTTATATGCATTTAATCCTGTAGAGAATTCTATTGCGAACACATTGATACCAAATTGAAAAACCTAGAACGAGAATTGAGATGACAAAGTGGAAAAGAGTATACACTTTAAAGTATTACCACACGCTCTAATGTAATGAGAGGTGCCTTGGGGTGGTGCAGTTCTCTTTCTGGTCCACTTTCACCTTGTTGGCGGGTGGAGTGCGCTGCGGTTTTTTACATTATATGCATCTACTCCTGTTGGGAATTCTATTGCGAACACATAGATACCAAAATGAAAGACCTAGGACAAGAATTGAGGTAACAAAGTTGAAGAGTATACACTTTTCAAAATTACCGCGCTAGCCCGTGAAACGCTGACTCCCACCTGGGGTAGTGCGGGGCTCGTGCACCCAGTGAGCCAAAGTGTTAAGATTTGAAGTTATTTTGTACAGAATTTTTAGGTCAAATTTCCAAAATAGTAAAATATTAAAGCACTGTAGAGTAATTTGAATATTTTAATGAACAACCCTGCTAAGAAATTAGCAAAGATTGAATTTGTAAATTAATAGTATAGCCTTAAAGATTTTAAGAGCTTAAATAGTAAGTGCATTAGATGTTGCCAGAGGGTTTTGGAGCCTTGGTCAGTGCCTTCATCATTGGTGATTATTCATTCTTTCCCTTCCTCTAGACTGGTTAATATATATTAGTAGTACATTATTTTCCAGAAAAGTCCCTTCTTACAGCAGTAAGGCATAACAATTGGCACAAGTGAAAATGTGAGCCAGGATTGCATGTAGACCCTTAATTTGCTAAGGTATTAGTCCTACATTCAGGTGCACATATAAAATAAGTATTGAAAACCCTCAGATTAATTACATAGCGATTTTAGCACAGGAGGAAATTGCAGGAAGTGACTAGAGCAATGAAATGGTAGTTAGAAGAGATGTTTAACATTGTTTTATTTTGTAACCTTATCAGAACTGTTGCATAGTATAGTTTGTGTCCCTAGATCTTCACTGGGGTTACATTCTTGTAATAACCATGCAGATAAAGTGCAAAAGGTACGAGGAAAAATAAGTTCCAGATACTTAACACTGAAATGTGTTAATAGAATTGTTAATAGTATTCTTAGGACTTTTGAATATTAAAAGGAACATTTAGTTGACATGATTGGTGCACCTGCTACTATTGCTTGAGGGCAACAGAAGCAGTTTAACCTTTGGGCTGCTAAGCTATTAAGGGTTAATTATTTTGTCACCATAAAACTAAGCTTATCCTTACTCTTGAAATGCATTACCTTAAGTTTTGCACAAAGTGCAGATTTCAGCCATGTTTAAGGATGTTTAAATTTATTACATTTTTATTAAATACTTTATACTTCAAATTGTTGAAGCTGTAGCCAACTCATTAGCAGTAACATTCCAAAGTGATATTTTGTATTTCGGACTAAATCCAGACCTATACAGTATCTATAAAATAATATCTAAAGTTAGGAGGTGGTCGGGTGGAAGCCAAACACTTGGGCTAATCTTGCCAGACCCTGCAGGATGACTAGGTTTTGTCCAGAGATGGTCATAGGCAGGCCAGATAAAGCCACGTGCCCCATACTTTGTACGAAATGGCAAATCATACTAATTTCCAATCTATAACTACGACTCCATCCTCCCCTAGATTACAGGGATGAAGGGAAGGTGGTAGAGGACAAGAGAAGGCAGCAAGCGGTAAGGGTGGCAGTGAAGGAGCGGAAAGGTGTGATGGCATTTAGTTAGGGTAGTGAAGAAAGTGTTTGAGAAGATGGTTACATTAAAGATGGTGAGTAGTAAAGATGTGGCATCCATCACCTGCGTTACACTGGGGTATCCTCCCCTTACATAAGGGACTTGCATTATAATGACTTATTGGTACACCAAAGAACGGTAATGCCGCATTGCCTCTTTAGTGGGCTACATACGTGTAAGTGATACTCGTTAATTTAAAGCAGCAGCAGCACATGCCTCCCTATATAGGAAAACAATGTATCTGAACAGTTTAGTATTTTCAGGAAATCTGTCTGCTGTGCCATTGAGTATTTAACTTCAGTGGGTCTGTAAACTTGTGAATTAAACAAATAAGAATTTATGTATACTATACAATACTCAATAGGAACAGTTGTTTTATGGTACATTTTCATAATACAGGAGACACTAAATAATACCATATGTACTGTGTATAATGTGCAGTAGATTACATATAAAGTAACCTAGATTTTAGCTTCAGATGACCAGATATACAAAAATATTTACCGTAAGTGATAAGCTGTGATTTTTTCAGACATTGTGAATACAATTATATACATGGTATAACAAATAAATTTAATCCCGATATGATACTACTGTAGTGCCTAATGTATAGATGTGTATGAAGCTGAAACAATGCTGGATAAAGTGGGAATGTGTTTTGCTTAGAATTTGGCAATTTAATTTTGCATGCTGAAAATAATTTCTTGCCGTTTAAATAAATGTGTACTTTTTTCTCCAAATTCAAGACTAGTCAACTCTTTTTGACCAGGCCACTCGAGTAACTCCCTTTCTCAATGTTCAGCTCTTAATAGGACATTGCCAAAATCTAGCTTGGCCAGTGTGACTTGCTATTCCTGATGGTATATATATTATTTCCTTACATTTTCCATTCTTTTAAAACATTTTCCAATTTTTTTAAACATTTTCCATTCTTTCCTTAGAACAAGAACTCTTTCTTGGTCTTTTAAAAACAGGCCTACCATTTTATGAATTTTTCTCTTAATTATTTTTGTGTTGTAATAGTAACATTACTTGCTCTATCAAAATATTCCATTAAATCTTTACTCTCTTCCTCCATCAACAATTGGTTTAAAGTTGGTTGTCTAATGGAAATAATGGCTCACAATAATGCCACGTCTTAGGTGTTTCACATGCTTAGAATATTAAAAATACTATTGCTGGTAAGCATAAGTGTCTATGGAAGAGTATTTAAGGTACTGTACCAAAGAAAACAAAAATTGGCTCGGTAAGCATGGTATTAGAGAACGACTTTTGATACTTCAAAGCCTATAATTTTTTTTGTTAATAGCACCCACTGTGTTAGGGATTTCATTTGCAATAGAATTTGTGTAAAGTTTAGGTGAAGGTGTAAATTTGTAACTTTGTTTACAGATCTAGAATGAGTGTCTTTCATATGTGTGTTTTTATATATAATAGTGTATGGTATTGCTGTGATTAATGCTATATTATGTGATTAATGCTATATTAGTGTCTTAAAATGGTGATTTGTTTTTCTTAATTGTATTATACTATGTTAACCAGTCATATGTTTAATAACTGCAGGGTTCAAAGCAACTGCACTGCTGCTAAACTGATGGATTGTACTGTATATATAGGTGAATTATGATGTATGCTCCTGGGAGAGAATGAAAGCTGGTTACAGGTAGATTCATCTCTTAGTAGATGTCTTGGAAGTGTGGAAATGTTCTTGGCTTGGTTATGTATTTTCCAAATGAGGTTAATTCTTGTGCACTTAATGGTACATAACCTTGTCCATATTACACTTTTTGCTTAGTCATCTATCTATCTGGCTGATGTTCCAATTCTAAATATGGTCATGAATTTTGCTTTCCCACTATCCCCAAACAGTCTCATTAAATTCCTCTGTGAATTTGACTTCTTTGACATGGATAAATTTGTCTTTAGTAAATTATTGGCAGAGTGAATATCTAAGAACTCTTGAATCCTTTGTGATGTGCATCTTTGTGGCCGTTCTTCTGGCATCAAAACAGGAAGTGAGGAAATGTTTTTGGTTGGGTTATGTACAGTACTGGCTCCCACACGATTAACCTA